AATGGCATTCACACAAGCTAGCAACTAATTCACACTGAGTTTTCCTGCAGGATTTAAAAAATAAAGCTTTCAAAAATTTTTGATTTATTTTCCTAATGGTTTATATTCTATCATAGTTATAGTAATTTGATATCTGCTTAGATCTTGGAAATCTAAACGCACTCTTCTATTTTTGTATTAGGATTTAATAACTATGTTTGAATTTTTGGAGAGCATTTAGTCTTAAGCATATATTTACATTCGCTTAATCTGGAGTAATAGTTGTTAGACTTGCATAGGTGGCAGAGTCACTGAAAATAGTGTTCTTTTTTTTGGAACACTGAATTCATACTAGATCAAATTCTAATCTATGTAATTTATTCAAAATGAGAATCTATGCTAGAATTTAAACTAAGATAAGTAGTATAAAACCATAGGTTTAAGAAAAATTTTATAGCAGAGATACTTAAAATTGAGAACATTATACCCATTTACTGTTGGTCTTCCCCTGTTGGAAAAGGGTGGCTATTTTATTTCAGTGGCAAAACATATCCTGTAGCCTTGTAGAATACAACTGTTTCTTGTATCATGGCTTGAGAATTGTTTTGTCTAAGAAAAATGAATAATAAAAGGATTAATATATTTTTTAAGGATGAAATAGAAAATGTGTACAGGCTAATATGTTTCTTATTTAATCTATAAAAATTGTTTTGCTTTCATTATTTTAATTCTTAGCACATCCATATAAGTTGTGAACTATCAAACCAATTTTTTAAAACAACTCAAAGATATTAATATATTTTTCAGTCCTATAGATTACTGATTAAATCTGTTTACATATCTTTTAAATGATGATAGGGTCAAATACAGTGGTTATAGTTTATCTATAGTAATCTAGTTATTTTCCATGTTTAGCATGGAAAACTCTAAAGTAAAATTTTTCTTTGATAATTATAAATGTTTACTTTTAATGTCTTGGAATCCTAACCATTGTCACATGTCTCTGCTTTGTTCTTTCTAAGTAGCAGATTTTCTTGATATGTTTATACCTCTCGCAGAATGAATTTTTAATAAGAGGCATACACACGCATGTGTGTGCATAAGAGTTTAGGCTTTAAAATATTAATATGAATGAAACTACTGGAATTCTTGTAACTCATTTTTAGTTTAGGTTGTTGCATGGAATAATTCTTATTCTGTTTCATTTTCTACTTAGGAAATACTTCTAAACTTGAAAACTGCTTTGGAGAAATACCACGAAGGCATTGAAAAGGCAAGAGAGGATGGTTGTGCTAAGATAGATGAGAAGACAGCTGAACTGAAGAAGAAGATGTTCAGAGTATCAACCTGATTAAACAAAATTATATGTCTTTTTGTAAATAGCTTGTCATCTTTTAATTTTCTATTTGGAAAGACAATAGTTAAGTTGAAGCTAATGGAAGTATCGAAGTACCAAATAATGTATCCTCAGTCAGTTCTTACATACTCTCATAAGTGGCTAGTTTATAAGATAAGAATTCAAGGTAGACTTTTATTAATTTCAAATTAAAATAACTTGTGCAGCTGTTCATGTCTCTACTCTGCCCCTTGCAAATAGTTGTAATAAAACGAAACTAGTTACCTTCGAAATATTTCTTTTCCTGTTATTATCATGGCCGTGGTTTTGTTTGTTGACATACAGAGTTGTGGCATTATTAAGGCCTGACTGTGCCCTAAGCATTGTAGTTGGGAATCTCATTTGATCCTCATGTAAGCAACTCTAGGTAGATATCTTTATTACTGCTTTATAGATGAAGTAACTATGAAGGTCCCAAAAGATTAAATAGCTGAACCAAAATTTGAAC